CAGCTTAATTTTGTGCTTCCTATTGTAATTTGTTTTCCTATTCTTTCATTAGATGCAGTCAAAGTCTCAGGTTACATTGACAATGAGAGAAAAACTTGCCCTTCCGCTATAAATAAATGACTAGGGTTCTATAATTAATTATTGAGGGTTAGACTTCTCTATATCTCTGTCTTTTGGACCAATCATTGCATGACTGATTCATGAGGCTGCCAGTACAGGGGCCTGGAACTAGGGTAGAAAACACACAGTGAATAATTCAACCCTTGGTCCTAGGAAGTTGTATCTCCTTAGAACAAAAACTAAAAAAGCCATTTGATATAGGTTTTGTGAAACACATATTACTAGATAACATAAGGTGAAATTATCTGTCTAGTCCTATGTCATGACCAAAGAAAAATTTTAAAGACAAAGGAATTGAAACAGCCATGAGCTTGTCCTCAGTGACCTGACAAGCTCAGAATTATTTTAATACTGGGATGCTCAGAATGCTTCAGAAGTTAGTTGAGGAAAGCTTCATGGAGGATGATCAATTGTGTGATCCATGAACCTCCCTAACCTTCACCACTCCATCCTAACCTTCACTGTCTTCCCCTTATATTTGCATTTGTTTAAATAAATATTTCAATTGAAATATAATATATTAAATTTTACCTAGTATATCATGTTTCCTTTCTATATTTGATTGTACCCAGAATAACAAAAGCTAAGAATCAAATATTTGTTCCCTATTATATACTAACTAGAGGCCCGATGCAGGAAATTCATGCAAGGGGCTCAGCCCTCGCAACCTTGGCTTTGGCCAGAAGGTCATCCGGACGGTTGATCTGCTGTTTGGTCTAATTAGCATATTAGCTCTTTATTATATAGGATCACTAAAACAAAAATGTATATTACACAGCAATACATTATTTTAAAGTGGGCTATTAACTTACTAAAAAGAATCACCTCTCCGCTGTTTAATTTTCCTGGTTAGCAGTTTCCTCTTTTCTTCTTCTTTTCTCCTTCTTCTTCTTATCCTTCTTCCTCTTCTCCTCCTCCTCTTCCTCCTCCTCCTCCTCCTTTCTTCTTCCCCTTCTCTTTCTCCTTCTCCTTCTTCTTCCCCTTCCTCCTCCTCTTCTTCTTCTTCTTCTTCTTCTTCTTCTTCCTCTCCTTTTTCTTTTTTTTTCCTGCAAAAATGTCCATTTACTAAACTTCATAACTGCCTGGCCATTCTCATGATAGCCTATTGTGTTTTCAACCTCTTCCTTTTAATAAGAAAATCAGTTGTATCATTTAAGGTACATAAAAGCGGCACCAGATTTAAACTCTTAAACCTGGGATATTAGGGTGCTCACCAATAACTGCAATTTTAGCGTGTACACCAGCATTTTGCCTGGGAAAACCTGTGCCTTCTCCTCCTATATAAATTTTCATTGTTGTTCTGAGTATTTCTCTAGTCTTAGGATTTATTTATTTTTTATTTCAGATGACTGTTACCCACCATTCTTTCAAATCACATACTTTAAAAGCTGAGAAATAAGGATAAGATAAATCACAACTATTTTAAGATATACATTACAATATTATGTTTCTTTAGGCAGAACTAAAGCCTAAGGAATTTCTGTGGATTTTGAAAATTAGTCAATTGAAAAATCACCCTTTGATACATGAAGAATAGCTAAAAAAATATAATCTGTATCACTGATTTTCACTATTATTATAAGCTGTGTTAAGCACATGTGGAAATGTGGATAAATTATACTTTAAGACATGAATTAAAAATGGCTTCTAGAAAACTTTTTAGAAAGTTTGGATACAGTAGAGTGTCCATAAAATTTCTCTTTTTCTGCAGGGTTTTATTATGTCTTAAAATTATTTATTAGGGGAGAGAAAAACAATTCTGTTAATTACTTATTAATATTAAAGTATTGATGAGCATTACCCAAACGTACCGGGATTCCAGCTGGTGTACTGGGGTGAGACTGTGAAAACACATCCAACACAAGGGGCGAGGGGCTATATTAAAAGAGCAGAACAAATGACTTAGCAGGGGCCTAAAAACAGCAATCAGAAAAGGTTCATTTACCTTAGAGATGACACAAGCTTTGAGCAATTGCCTCTGCTTAAGTAAGTGTGGAATTACAAAAGGCTATTTATTACAGTCCAATGGGGTCTGCAGCTTGCTCACAGACCTTTGAAGAATTCCAACAGTTACAAAGTCTTGCTCAGTGCAGAAGCAGTAAAATGTGGGCAGATCCCCAAAACAGCCTGCAAAGCTTTCCTGAAAAAGGTTAATTCAACCCTAGCCACAATTGTTCTTTGATATGAATTGCTTTCTCTTTCTCTTTAAGGAGAGATGCTATACCTGGTAATTTTCAAAGTGTCTTTAAAAGTGTATTTTAACCGTTAAGGAAAATAAATCATATTCAAGGTGATATGGAATGAATATAGGGTCTCCATGGTTTTACCAGGGGAGTTTTCCAACATTTAACTTCTTTGAAATGCTCTGAAAGCATACATTAGTTACTCTAAAATGGGTTTCTTTCAGCAGAAAAATTTGTGATATTTCTCCTTTTTTTGTATAAAAAGCAGAATTTGGTTCCAAGAACATTGGAGCAGAAATTTTTATATTAGTGATTGGATAATGACTTGATTTTTCTAAGTATTAGAATACATAAAAAAAAATTATTCTCAATGATTTAACAAATCCGTTATGTATGGCTCAGTGATATGTTTATAATTATTGAGTATGTTTATAAAATTTCAATTAATATAACCAAAATAAATTACCCTTTTCTTAGAATCAATTTTAGAGCAGCAACCATCAGGGGTGAGGTATGGGGGTGTTATGAGTGCATGTTGGGTGTAACACAATAATACTGAATAAAAGAAAAGCAAACATTAATGGAAAATGATGCTTCATGAAAAGATATTAATTATTAATGGGAGCAAAACATAAGTAAGGAAGTGAATTTACTTTTCCATCAGGAAAGCAAGACCTACATTTTTCCTTGGCAAAAGGTTCAGAATCATCCCCAGGCCACTCAATCGAAGAAATTATGCTTTAGTAACAAAAGAGTTCTTAAGAGGGTTTTACAAGTAATAGAAATAGAAGAATGGGAAATTTATTGCAATAGAGTCTTCATTTAGGATTACATTTTCCAATAAAGTGTCATGAGGCAGGCTCATGAAACTAGTTTTATGTGAGGAATAAAAAGTAAAGGCATTTATAAACAGGAACAATTTAAATGAGAGGTTGTGAAACCAAAATATGGTGTTTGGGTCCAAGTTTGTTGTCTCACAAAATCAAAGAATGAGTTCACGTACAAAAACAGATAGCGGAAGCAACTTTTATTGGGAAAAGGCAGTTCTGGAAAAGGTGTAGAGGGGATTCCAAAAGCAGGATAGTGTCTGGAGTTTCCATTCACGGTGCAGGGGAGCACAACCCATGGAACCCAGCACACACCAGAGAAAGAGGAGAGGGGAGAGAGGAAGAGAGACATGCATGTTTGTTTGGTTTTTGGTTTTTTGTCTAGGAGTAGTTAGGTGCTACTGAAGTAGAAGTAGTTGCTAGCTTCTGATTGGTCCTTTCAAAGAATTCTATCTTAGTAACATTATTGGGATCGGTTATATGCCTCACTGCCTTGTGATTGGTTATCTGCAAACTGCCTGTTTTAGTAATACCCATACATTTTAAAGCTTACATCTCCAGGGTGTGTGTGTGTTCTTTCTCCACCTAGCTGGGTTCCTGGGTTCTACTCCCCACTGCCCATGGTCCCATCCCTGTCTACCTAGCTTCCTCTGTCTCCTCAGTTATATATATAAAGGTTGGCATAATCACTGAAACATCAAATCAACAAGTCTGCCAGCCATTGTGGGAAATACAAACATAGGGTTTTAATAGTCTTTGATTTGAGTAAAAGTGATGAGAAAAATAGGTCCTTCAGCAATGAAAACAATTCAGCAGTTAATGTACCTAAGAATTCTTGATTTTTTTTTTCATGTTTGTAATGTGTTTTGCTGGATTCCATTAAAGCAGAAAGCCACTGAACCTCAAGTGAGATATTTCAGTTGCCAATGTACCAAGATTGAGATTTGAAACCAGAAGTGCATTGATGGAGAGTATGGATTTTTATTTTTAATGGAAGGATTTTAAGTAGGATATCACTTAAAATATATTTAATCTTCCATCAGAAGTGAAGGTGACCTTCTGATATCTGATCCAAACAGGTGGTTTTTATTCATGTTCTATTCTTTTGATAATGCATAGCGAAACATAATAAATATCGAGTCACCGCCCAATAAGAAACTTCACAATATAGGTTGAGAGTTATGGTACAAACAGCAGTCATTTCATTGGTAGTTCTTATGAAATATTTTTAAAGAAATAAAAAATGTTAAAGCAGAAGATTGCTGCATTTTTCTGGTATATATTTTTATTCATTAGAGGCTTTTGTCAACAGTCAAGGTATGTCCTACTGTATGTCCTAAATCTTATCTATTTTACAATATATTCAATATTATTATTACCTATTGATACCACGGGACTCCTTGTGCATAATGGATTCCAGTCCTCCTACAGAGTTGCGGATGAAAATGTTATCAATGAGCTGAAGAATCTGGTATTAATAATTTTGCAACATTATAACAAATAGGTAGTCCTGATGTTTTGTTCTTATTTTAATATATCAAATATATTTCATTGCTTACATTAGAGTAGCAGATTGAAAACATCTGCTCACTTGCCACTATTCCACCAGCAGCTGAAAATCTCAGCTCATTTTCCATAGGCCTGCATGTACCAGGTCTATAATCCAGCTGCCGAGGCTTGATATGGGGCCAGAGTAATACTCAAGAGCCTTTGAAATGGAAATAGTGTTTTCTTGCCAAAAATTAGAACAATGATAGACTCCATTTGCTGTTCGCTTTGCTCTCTGCTCCTCTTTACCGCATTCACAACCTGATTAATTTGCCCCCTCCTGTGACCCCTCCATCCTCTCTTTACAGCTCCATCACCTGTCATGACCATTAAGAAGGATCGGACATCCGGAAACAGCATCTCTTTATCCTGGCAAGAACCCGAACACCCTAATGGGATCATATTGGACTACGAGGTCAAATATTATGAAAAGGTGGAGACAATG